GACTGTGTGCCTGAATAATTATGTCTGTGTGCTTGTATGGTTGTGTGTCTGTATGTTTTTGTATTTGTGCATGTATGTATTTTTGCCTGTATCTATGTCTATGTGGGAGAAAAAGAGAGATAGATAGGGGCTGGGGGGAAGTAAGAAATACATAAGAGGGGTTGTAGGAGACACACTAAAGGCACAAATGGGCCAAAGGGGTAAGACATTCAAGAGAGTGGATATGCAACACTAATGGGGGTAAGAAATTCAAAAGGGGCCTAAGAGACACAGAGGTGAAGATGCATTGTTTATTTTTTTTAGGGGGGAAGGGGGGCGTCAAAATGCATCTTCGCCTGTGTAGTCAAAAATCCTAGCACCGGCCCTGACTCCAGCTATCTTGGAGTCACCCAGTCACATATGAGCAAAAGTAAAAAATTACAAATCCTTAAAAACCAACAACAATCAGTTACTTCACTAATTGCTGTGATAAAACCAATTCAAACTAAACCAAATCACAAAATTAATCGCACAACAGTTCACTTCATTGCTGACTGTGACAAAACAAAAAATAATAAATGAATTACTGGCAGTTATTTCACAGCAAGCAGTGATTCATGGGTGTGGAGTGGACCTAATAGCTAGAATACTAATTGTCTACTAGGCCATTGTTTCTCAACCTCTTGCAGGTCTAAAAAAAATCACAAGTACCCCTGTTTTGTTTTTATTTTTAGAAGGAGGGAGTGAGCAGGAAGCTCAGCAGTCAGCAGATTAATATACTGCTGCTGAGCCCAATGCTCGAGCTGAGAGGAGGAGGATAGGTAGAGTAGCCTGGACTCCCTTGTGTGGGACAACAAAAAAGAACAGAAGGTTCTGCAAGATAAGATAATACTATAAAATATTCACAATAAAACAGTAAAACAGAACCAATAGTCAGAGAGAGAGACTTTCAATGGAGTAGTAATACTAGAAATGTCTAAATAAAAGCAGACTTGTAAAAACAGCAGCCAGATTATGTGTAAAAGTTTATTTTCTTTGTCTGATCAGGAGAAATCTGTGAATCTGTATGAAATACAATAAACAGAGAAACAACCAAATTATGTAGTATGTCACAATAGTTTCTAGTCCTAATAGTTCATTGATCTTCTATAATCCTACTCACGTTCTTAAGAGCTAATACCAGCTCTAGTGTGAATAATCCCCACTTATAGGATACATATGAGGTAGTAATCCGATGGTATCTAAGCAATATGTGACCGTAAGAACCCAGAACAAATAGAAAAGACAACAGCAATAGTGCTCTCTGTATAAATTAAAACCAGGAGTAGTATATAAGAAATTTCTACTCACATTTGACTGAGCAGACAAACCGCTTAGGGGATAAGTCGTGAATTGTATAATCACCACCTTGGATTTCTTTGGTGAGGTCTTCATTGGAAAAATAAAACTTGGTGCCAGGCAATAAAATATATCTTAAAACCATAAAAAGGGAAAGTAGTGCACTCACAATATATAAGTAGCTAAAATCACTATTTAAATAGCTAAAAAAGATCCAACACAGGGCTTTATCAAGTGGTGTCTACTCTATCCATTTTGGGGTTTCTGAGGGAGCCCTGTCCCTACTAGGTGTGTGGCTTCCCCTTTTATATTCTGTTTGGTTGAACAAGTGCTGATTCTTCATCCTTTTTTATTGTATTCACTTGTGTGGGAGCTTGTGGTCTGCAGCTCCATCGGCATCAGGTGCAAAGCACAGTAATTGCTCCCTGAGGTCTGGTGCTCATTGGAGAGTGTAGGACTGTGAAGGAAGTAAAAACTGTGCTTTGTACCCGATGGAGGTCAAAACCACATGCTCCCTGATTACTGGGTTTCAAATTACACACTCCTTGATTACTATACTTTGTACCCGGTGAAGGTTCAAACCACATGCTTCCTGGTAGGGCTCTCTTTCCGTGCTGGAAAAAAAATCTTCCTGCCCAGTGCCCATAATTGCCTGTCTCTCGGTGGTTGGGATTCACCATCCCTGTGTTTTGTGGGTGTTTTTGGTAGGGGGGGGAATTGTACAGAATTCACTGTGCGTCTGACTTTCTCCACTATAAATTTATGCTGCCCTCATACAGCTTGGCCTTTTCCTCTGCAAAGTAAATTACTTCAATACCCTCATAACCACACTCTCCCACGAACCCAAACGACAATTTCACACATTTAACTCTCTTCTTTGCCCTATTTTTCCTCCTCCACCTACTAACTTGACCACCTCAGACTTTGCAACTTACTTCACTGACAAGATCTCTACAATCAGGGAAGAGATCTCTCATCTTTCTTCTTCCCCTTACAATACTTCCCCTAACCTCACTCCCTCTGCTGTTCTATGTTCATCCGCACCCGCTACAGTGAAAGAGGTTTCTGCTCTGCTCCAGTCCTCCCCACCACCTGCTCCCTAGATCCAATTCCCTTGCATCTCATCCGTACTCTTCTTCTCTTTCTCTACCTCTCACTAAAATTCTCAATCTCTGTTCTCCTCTGCATATTTCCATCGCCCTTCAAACATGCAACTGTAACCCCAATTCTAAAGAAGGCCAACCTTGACCCTAACTCCCCGTCCAAATTTTCCTATCTCGCTACTGCTTTTTGCGTCCAAGAATCTTGAAATAGTTTTGTATGTGAGATTGACAGACTTCCTTGAGTCCGACTCTCTACTAGACCCGCTTCAGTCTGGATTCAGCTGTGACCAAAATATCCAATGATCTACTCGCTGCAAAATCTCCACTACTCTATCCTAATTCTCCTTGACCTTTCTGCGGCCTTTGACACTGTTGATCATCAACAGCTTCTTCTCATCCTCCGCAATATCGGTCTACAAAATATTGTTCTCTCCTGGTGCTCCTACTACCTCTCCCAGCACTGTTTCAGTGTTTCTTTCTCTGGCTCTGCTTCTTCTCCCCAACTCCTCTCTGTTGGTGTCCCCCATGGTTCAGTCCTTTGCCCCCTACTGTTCTCTATCAATACTGTATTGATAGAGAACAGTAGGGGGGTAAACTAATTAGCTCCTTTGGCTTCCAATATAATTTCTATGCGGATGGCACGCAAATCTATCTGTCCTCTCCTGATTTCTCCCCGTCCCTCTTGACTAGTGTCTCTGACTGACTCTCTGCTATTTCTAACTGGATGGCTGCCCACTTCCTTAAACTCAACTTGACCAAAACTGAAATTCTGGTCTTTCCTCCCTCAAGTGTTGCTACACCTGTGTCTGTCTCCCTCCAAGTCAACGGTGCTACCATCAGCTCCACCACGCAGGCTCGCTGCCTAGGTGTTCTCTTTGACTCCGACCTCTCCTTTAGGCCTCATGTTCAGTCTATCGCCAAATCCTGCCGCTTCCATCTCAAAAACATTGCGCCATCTGACCCTACTTAACGCCAGATGCGACTAAAGTGCTGGTCCACTCCACTGTCCTTCGTCGCCTTGACTACTGTAATCTGCTTCTCAGTGGTCTTACGTGCTCCCAACTTGCGCCGTTACAGTCCATAATGACTGTGGTGGCGAGGCTCCCCTTCCTGTCTGCCCGCACCTCCTACGCCTCACCCTATTGTCAGTCCCTACATTGGCTTCCTGTAAGATATAGGGCTCAATTTAAAATTCTGGTTCTTGCTTTCAAATATCTACATAATGCTGCTCCCACCTATCCATCCTCCCTAATACACAAGTACTCCCACCTCTGATGTTTACCTTCAAGATTTCTCGAGGGCTACACCGTTCCTGTGGAACTCACTTCCCTCCTCTGTTAGATGCTCACCCAGTCTTCACTCCTTCAAAAAATCATTAAAAACCCACTGCTACATAAAAGGGTATGAATTAAACTGTTAATAGCTCCGGACTGATTCCACTCTTGCAACTGTCATTAGTTTAATACTATCCTTACCTTTTGTGTCACTTTACCCCACTCCCTCTAACATGTAAGCTCATTCGAGCAGGGCCCTCAACCCCTCTGTTCCTGTGTGTCCAACTTGTCTGGTTACAACTACATGTTTTTTCGTCCACCCACTGTAAAGCGCTGCAGAATTTGTTGGCGCTATATAAATAATAATAATTTCAATCTAATATTCATCTCAGACTTCACAGGAAAATGCCCCCTACTCACCAATACACACCCAGGTACTGCAGTAACGTGGCTCATTTGTGAACAGTCACCTAGTCATCCAAGGAAAGTGGCTCTTGGTCACCAGTACCACAAAGGATTCTCAATGAAAGTGTTCCCTGCACGCTAACATCCTACCAGGCATCCCTGGGAATGTGGCCACTGCTTGTCAAATATTTTTTTCTAAAAACTAGTTAGAAAACGGCTTTTGCCTAGGCAAATGGTGTTTTAAAACAGCACTGTCACTGCAGAATTTAAGACCTCCCTCCCCCCCCGATGGTGACATCACCACTGGGCAGCCGTTGGCCGGGCTGGGAATGGTGAGTTTTACTTAACTGGCGTCATCGGCACGAAGTCTATGGAGGATCCCGCGAGACCCACCTCCACAGATAGAGCCAATTCCCTGCAGCCGTGGAGATTGACACTGTAGCTCCCTACTTTGTCTTATGTTTTTAATTAGAAATAGATCAAAAAAGAAAGACGGGCATGACACTTCAAAGGTCAAATAACTATTTAGGTAGGTGAAATATTTTTTGCCTGAAATTACTATTTGCCTACCACATATCATTTGTTCAGCACAATATATAAATTATATTTATATACCTACCTGTACCACATGTATTGTGGCTGAAAATGTCCTTTTAAATATAATTTCCCCTGTACCCCAGGCTCAGAGCTGTGAAAATATTTCAAACAGTTACAATCTGAGAAATTTGTTCACACTGCCTCTGTAACTACTTTGTGTGTGGAAAATCTTCTGTAAGGCTTGTTTCCTTTTACAGGTGGGAGGTGCGGGCTCCTTCAGCTTTGCTTGTCTATATTTAGCAATATAATCTGGAGGGATGGTTCAGGATTCTGTCTTGTTAAACATTGGATAGAGAAATCATGTGACAAGTTACTGGCAATCCGGTAAAGCTGCAGAACGTACCCTCACAGCCTTATTAAGGATTCAAGGTTCATTAATACATGATTTGCTATGCAGAACAATCCATTATAATTGGATAATAGGAAGTCACTGCTATTGATGTGCTTGTGTGTATACTGGCTTCAGTCTGTGTTGCCTGAATACAAAGCAATGGTATTTCTGGTATGTTCTAAATTTACTAATATGCAATGCATGCTGGGTAAATGTACAATGATTGATACTTATTGGTGTTATCACAGGTTTCATTTGCTGTAAACATGCAGATTTCTACACTCTAGTTTGGCAAAGGTGAATGGGTTTTTGACCAGTTTGACTTTGTGCTGTTTTCTAAACAAGGAAGTGTCAGGAACAACTAGCAAAAGTTAGGTTTGGTCAAGCCATTTTTAAATGTATTTTGGAAGATACTGCAGTCAAGTGATTACCTCAGCAATGCTTTAATAGTGTAATATACATTTTGAATTAGTCATTGAATACCAAGCTTGAAAGTATTTAAATGCATTTTGTAAGCTCATTCACTAAACTCCAAATTGTAGCAAATTAAAATGTTAATTGTAAAATTCAAAACGTGAACTAGCTAACAAATAATTTTTCCAAATCACTTATTTTTGCCATTTGGAATTACATTGTCTATTTTGGTAAATAACGCAAATAGAATTACTACATTTCCACCGCTCTTGCAAATAAAGTGCATGTTATGTGGTCTTGAGCAATTGTCACAACCCCAGCTTGCCATCAACAAGTGTGTGTTTGTAATGTCACATTCCGAGAAACCTGCAATGGATTTCTGTTTTCAGGGAGTTCATAAGGAACTAAATTACTTGTTTCTATCTGAACAGAATGCCACTAGAATGTTAGTTTTTTTTAGTCTTAGAGTCAGGGCCGGTGCAAGGATTTTTGCCACCCCAGGCAAAAAAAATGTTGTTGCCCCATTTGCTCCACCCACTCATGCAGACTGACACACACCCTCTGACCCGAGCAGACTGACACACACGCACTGACCCATGCAGACTGACGCACACATGCACTGACCCACGCAGACTGACGAATGCAGATGGACACGCGCACACACTGACCCATGCAGACACACACATGTACACTGATGAATGCAGACACACATACTGGCCTATGCAGATGCATACACTGACACACATTGATACATACAGACAGGGGCAGGCTGGGACGGGAGGCAGGGAGGCAATTGCCCCCCAGGCCACCCTAAATCATTTTAAAAACGGCCGCTGCAGGGCCGATCCTAATGCTGCAGCGCTCTGTAAATAGCCTTAGGCGACTGCAGCGCAGCTTCTCACCTCACCTTCCCTGTAGCTCCTCTCCGGTCCACGGTACCCGGCTGGAGTGATAGGAAAGTGCACACACAGGTATTTGTTTTCCCATCCCTTCAGTGTTTCTCCGATTTCTTCCATTAGTCTGCCATAATTTAGCTCTAGTAGTTGGCCGGGATCTTTCTCAATCCCAGGAACGTCAGGTAGTCCTCCCTCCAGTCAAATTGGAAGCTGTCTTTTAATTGGCTTAGCGTGCCTTGAGTCATCCCTATCCCCATGGCCTGTGTTTTCATGACATTTAATTTGTAATAAGATTGTTCCCCATATTCTTTTATTTCATCTAGGAGGTTCGGCAGTGATATATGTGGTTGTGTGAGCGTCAGCATCACGTCGTCTGCAAACAGTCCCACTTTGTATTCTTGTTTCCCTATCCTTACCCCTATCCTTACCCCGTGTATGTTGGCGTTGTCTCTAATGCATGTGGCTAGAGGTTCTAGGGCTAGTATATACAGCAATGGTGACAGGGGGCAGCCTTGCCTTGTTCCATTGGATAGCCTGAAGGGCTCCGACAGGAACCCAGAGTTCAGCACTTGTGCCGCTGGTGTACTATATAGTGCCTCCACTACTGCTCCAAACTCCTCGGGTATTCCGAATCTTGACATGACCTTGCTAAGGAAGCCCCAGTGCAGTCTATCAAAAGCCTTCTCGGCGTCCAGGGAGACAAATAGTCCACCTAGCTTTTCTGTCTAGAGTTTGTGTAATAAATTTATGATTTTTCTGGTGTTGTCTGCACCTTGTCTTCCTCTCACAAAGCCCACCTGGTCATTGTGTATTATGTGTGGTATGATGTGTCCTAATCTGATTGCGTAGAGTTTTTTGCGAATAATTTTTCATCTGTGTTTAAGAGTGATATAGGTCGGAAGTTTTGTGGCGTCATGGGAGGTTTATTGGGTTTCGGCAGTGTAACAATGTGGGCTAATAGCATCTCCTTAGTTAGAGATCTTGAGGCAGTTGTGGTTAAATGCTATTGCCAGGTGGGGTGCCAAGGTATGTCTGAACTTTTTATAGTACTGGTTTGTTAAGCCATCTGGGCCTGGTGACTTGCCCGTTGGTAGGGTATGTATGACTTTTACAATTTCTTGTGCTTCTATCGGTTTGGTGAGGTCATTTTGTTGTTGCGGTGAGAGTTGCGGCAGTTTTATTTTGTCTAGGTAGGCTGTGATGCCTGCCTCTGTAGGTTGTGTTGTGTTCCTGTCCTCTTGTAGATTATAGAGGGCGTGGTAATATTTAGCGAATTCTTCGCTTATTTCTCTAGGTGTAATGCGTTTTTGGCCCTTGCTATCTAGTATGTAAGCAATTTTTGGGTTTGCTTGTTTCTTTTTGAAATGAGTGGCCAGAAGTTTGCTTGCTTTGTTTCCCTGTATGTAGTGGGTTATTTTTAGTTTTGTCATGTTTGCTTGTGTTTGCTCTAGGGCCTGTTGGTGTATTAATCTGGTTATAGTTGTGATGCGTTGTTTGTTGGTTTCTAGCGGTTTTATTTGATTTTGTATGTTTAGGTCATACAACTCTTGCTGCCATTTTTTGAGCTTAGTGTTCGTGAGTTTTTTGAGGTATGCTGCCCTTCTAATTAGTAGTCCCCTGGGTAATGTCTTGTGAGCCTGCCAGACCGTTGTTGGTGTTACCTCTCCCGTGTTATTTAGTGTAAAGTAGGATTTTAGGTCTGCTGTTAGTTCCTCCATGTATTCCCTGTCGTGGAGTAATGTGTAATTGAGTTTCCATGGGCTACTGTGCTTATAGTCCTACATGTTTTTCATGTCAAGGAGCACTGGCGCATGGTCGGACCACGTAATCTGTAGTATGTCGCAAATGTGCAGTTGATTTAAGTGTGGACCTGATAGGAGAAATCCATCTATCTGGGAGTATGAGTTGTGTACATTGGAAAAGTGGGTGAATGCTTTATCTCGTGGGTGTGTTATGCGCCATGCATCGTAGAAGTGGTATTTGTTTATGAGCTTCTGGATGGCCTTACATTGTCTCCTCAGTGGTCGGTGTCTACGACTCTGTTGTGATAGAGTGGTGTCTAGTTTGGGGTCTAATATGTGGTTGAAATCCCCGCATATCACTGTAATTCTTTTTTGTATATTACTTACTTTTTAAAGGATGCTATGGAGGAAGTTTTGTTGGTTTACATTGGACGCATAGATGTTTACTATTGTGTAGGGCATATCATTGATTACTCCCTTTACTATGACATATCTGTCGTTTGCATTAGTTTCATGATATTGTGGTTGAAAATTCAAGTGTTTGCTTAAGAGGATGGAGGTTCCTCTAGATTTAGCGGGTGAGGTGGCGTGATACTGATGCGGGAAGTGGAGAGATTGAATAGTGGGGTGATCGTTGTGCCTAAAGTGTGTCTCCTTTAGGCACAATATATCAGCGTGTAGTGATGTGAGGTCCCTGTTTAACAAATGTCTCTTTGCAGATATTAAGTCCCCGTACTTTGTAAGTACATATTCTCACAGTGGTTTCGTAACGCGCTGTTGCTTTTGATGTATCATGCTATCTATTTCTACGGGGTCCAACACTCTCCCCAGCGTTAACAAGCTGAGTGATGGTTCCCCTGTTTTGCTAAAGGATCTGGGCGTTGCCAGAGCCGGCAGGAAGTTCGTGCAAGTAGTGGTCTCTTGGAATTTGGGAGTTCTGTGTGAGAAAGGTGTACGTGTGGTAACGCTTATGTGTCCCCTAGTGTTTTCCGTTTTTACAGGGGTACAATAAACAGAACAGGAAAAAACAGGAATGAACATAACAATAACAACAAAAGTATATACAGTCAATAGTACTGCCCTAGGTATGGCTAGGCACTGAGTCTCCATGCCCTGGGGGTTGAAGCTACGCTTCTCGACTTGGTGGGTCCCCGTCTTTATTGCTTCACTTAAGTTTTTCTAGTGTTGTGTCGCCCTACATAGGCTTTTTAGTCAGTATCGTGGTTTATGTATTGAAGTAGTAAAGTACTTTTGTTTTATCTGATGGTTGGATGTGTTCTTTGCATTTTCTGTCTGGAGAGCCTGGGTCTATCGTCTGCCTTGGGGGTTATGTGCTAGTGATGTGGGTCATTGCCTTCTCTCTGGGAATATCTGTCTCTGGTTGTCTATGCTTTGGGCCCTAGCTGCTACCTCCTCTCCCTCTTGGCCCTATTCTCTTGATTCCCCGTGGATTGACCTGGCAAATTTAAGAAAAAGTTCCCTTTTTTTTTTTTTGCACTTTTTCTTAGGTAATTACAATGATTCCAATTACGTTACCCATTCCTGGCTTCGTCCCGGCTTAGTCCTTACATTCATGGTTCGCCCTTATAGTAAGTATTTTGTGATGGTAGCCAGTTCATTTTTTCTTTGTTTTCTTCCAGTCTGGGAAGAGTCTGTTTACGGTTGACCTCACGGTCGATTGCTCCGGCATGTCGATGTACCAGGTTTTAAGGGTTTGATGTCCTTCTTCTGGTGATTGTATTACCGTGGTTTTTCCTTTCCGGTTGACCAGGAGTTTTGTCGGGTATCCCCAGCGGTATGGAATATGGTGTTCTCTCATTCTCTGTGTTATGTCTTTGAATTCTCTCCGGCGTTTCAACGTGTAGGCGGAGATGTCGGCGTATATCGCTATTTTTTTGTAGATCTCTGGTAGTCCTTTGCTCGTTCTATTGGCATTGAGTGCGGCTTCTTTAGCGTGGTAATAGTGCATGCGAAGTAGTACATCTCTTGGTGTTTGAATTCTGTGAGAGTGGGGGGCACCAATGTGCACTGTAGTGGTAATGGTGCTTGAAATGTCTCTTTAGTGGAATGTACAATTTGAGCTATGCTTTAAGACTTTTATTCATAAAAAATAGAATTTGGGGAAAATCAAAGTGAATTTCACAATATCCAAACGGGGAGAAAATCCCAAATTAACCAGTTGCAAGTTTGGCTATTTTGACCTTAAAGGGATACCATAGGCACCAGAACCATTATAGCTTGTTTCTTTAGCAATGGCAAGTTATTATCTACTATTCTAAATAGGATTGATTGCAACATATAAAACTTTTGATTAATGTAAATGTTGAAAAAAAAGTGGGGCATTGTGATGGGGGGAGTGGTGGGTGGCAAATTCATTGCCTAGGGCGCCAAAAATCCTTGCACCAGCCCTGCATATATGACTGCTTTTGTGTGTAACTGGCAGCTTCCCTGCGCCTCGCTGCCTTTACTCCGTCTCAGCCCCGAGAAATTGAAGCGCCCTTGCGCTGTTGTGGCAATAGCAGTCTTTGTGGGGGGCCTGGCCGAGCAGGTTGAAGTGGATGCCGCTGGACCAGTGTTACACCGGGTGCTAGTCAGCAGCCGTGTAAGTGCGCCCTAGCACCCGGTAACATGGCCAGCAGCACGATTTCTATAGTTATTCAAACATAGAGGGGTGGCCAAACGGGCAGAGTAGTTAAGCTCCTGCCGGCGCCCCCCTTTAAACAGCCCTAGGTGGCCGCCTAATTGGCCTATAGGAAGCGCCGGCCCTGCTTAGAGTTTATCTATGGGTTATAAATCCCTACCAATTTTCTGAATTCAACCTGGAGATTTGAACTTCTAATACAGATTTACTACATAGATTATATATTGTAAGAATATATTTATTGTTTGAACTGAAAGCCAGTGTGCTCTTATCGTGGTAGAATTTACAATTTATAACACAAAACTACATATATAATAAAATGTTACTGATCTACATATATACTGATGTAATTCATAGTTTAGTTGGTTACCATAAATAATATAGTTTATATAATCGGATTGTTTGTTAAATACACACGGTAATGACAGAGTGCAAAAGAAGACAAATAAGTTTTACTTCAAGTAAGATATTTCCCAATCTACAAATTAAAAGATGCAGAATTTCAAAGGAGTTAAGGTTAGTGGTTATGGTGGCATTAGTGTTCTGGCAACACCACCCTTTGTGTGTAGTCAAAAAAGTTTTAAATTGTTTGACCTCATACCTGGGGTCTGCCAGGTGCCGCTCCTTGCTTCCACTACTAATACCGGAGAGCTAGAAGTTCCTAAGTAGGAGTTTCTTTTAGTTCTCCTGAGCTAGGTTCTTGAGCACAGGGCTTAACTCATTGGCTGAGAGTGTAATTTGATTGTTCAGGAACTTCCAGCTCTCCTGCATTAGTAGCTGAGTCATGGACCAGCACCCAGCAAACCCCAGGTCAGAAGTCAGACTGTTTAAAAAAAAACACTTTGGCTACTTACATTGAGGGGCACCAGGGTGTTCCTGGCCCATAACCACTATTGCAAACTAGGTATCTACTGATATTGATTTTTTTTTTAGAGCCGATACCGATAATCTGTGAACTTTCAGGCTGATAGCCGATAACTTGCCGATATTCTGTACATTTACCATTTTGAAAAAATAAACTATTTCTAAAGGTAAATGCACAAAATATACATGCCACATGTAGTGGATGCAGTGTATTTAGACATGGGAGCTATGTGTGTTTGTGTAGTAGGTGCAGTGTGTATTTGTGTATATAATTAATGCAGTGTGTGTTTGTGTAGTGTGTATAGTGAATGCAGTGAGTGTTTGTGTAGAGTGTATATTTAATGAATGTAGTGTGAGTGTAGTGTGTGTGTGTTTGTGTAGTGTGTGTATATAATGCAGTGTGTCAGTGTAGTGTGTGTGTGTATATAATGCAGAGTGTGTGTGTGTGTTTTCTGAAGGGATGTAATTTGTGTAAAATGGGTGGGAGGGGAGGGCATTTTTTATGTTTGTTTTTTTTTGTCCCCCCTCCCTGCTTGTTACCTGGCCAGGGAGGGGGGCTATGGTATTCCCTGGTGGTCCGAGGCATGTACTGAGCAGTGGGAGGGCCCCCAATAAGCTCTTACTAACCTTCCCAGCAGCTCCCTTCAGCTCCCCCGTGTAAATCTCATGGCCTGGGTGCCGCGTGGAGCGTTGCCATGGTAACCCGTGGCAACACTCTGACGGCCGCGGTACTCGCGAGATTTACACAGGGGAGCTGCTGGAAAGGTAACAGCTTGCTGCGAGCCCCCCCAGGATTTATAATGGCAATATCGGTATCTTTATTGGCCGATACCGATATTGCCGAAAATACCGAATATCGGCCGGTAAAATCGATAATCGGTCAATCCCTACTGCAAACTGTAGTGGCTATGGTGTTTGGATTGTTCCTTTCAGTTGTTATAAAAGGTTTTTGGTTCCTGGTGCATGTAAGGCACAGATGTAGGCCTTGAAACAAACCGTGCGTTTATCCAGTTTCCTAGTAGTGTAATAAGTGAGATTCTTATACTTACTCTTTCATACTTGGTTAAATCTGAGATACTGTCACAATACCTGCCTCTTTTGCTCCCATTGGAGTTCACGCTGTCTGCCATGCGTCATTTCTGTGCCAATTGTGATGCTGGACGCTCCCACACTTCAACCTGCAATGACACCAGGCCCTTTTAAGGCTGTCAGGATCGTACACGCAAACCCAGTAACAACAAAGTCATGCTCTCGTTTTAGCGCAGTCTGTAGGAATCCTTTCTTTAAGTTCTTGGTCTCTGACTTTGGCCTGTTTTTACTATTCCAATCTCTGTACTCCTGACCCTGGCTTGTTTACTTATTTTCTGGAATCCGGACCTTGGCTTGTCCTGACTGCTTTACCTGTGATATAGAAATTTATGATGGATCAATCATCCAAAAGATATAACCAGAGGCTCCTAATTAGATATATGAGCGCTCGGGAGAACCGATAATAAAACCACAGACACTTCGTCGTTTGTAGTTCAAAATCATCTTCTCAATCTTTAATGGGAGAGCATCGTATATATAAAATGGCTTAAATATAAAAGTGCATTAAAATAAGACCAAAGAAACAATGACTTACTAGAAAGTGTTATCTACAAGGTTAAAGCAAACGTAACATTTAATGAGAAAGAGAACCAGCCGCAGAAGCAGAAGAAATAATCTTTAACCCCTGCAGACGTGGAAGGACTTTACTAAAGCTAAGGCTGTACCCTTTATATACCTTTTGTCTATGACACCTGCTTGGAGGTATTTCTTGCCTATACTTTGGCTACATAGCTTTTAGCCCAGCCACCCAATGCTCATGCCCCTTTTTTGCTCTCAGATGTGCATGCTAGGTCACACCTTAAAAGATCACTATAGGGTCAGGAACACAAACATGTATTCCTGACCCTATAGTGTTAAAACCATCATCTAGCCCCCGTGGGCCCCTCATGCCTCAATAAGTATAGCAAAATCTTACTATATTCAAGCAAGCTCTGCATTCTGTTTGCCTAAAAAAAAACAAGCAGTCTGCTGACATCATCAGAAGTGGTAGCCTGATCCAATCACAGTGGTTCCTCATAGGATTGGCTGAGACTGACAAAGAGGCAGATCAGGGGCAGAGCCAGCATGATTCAAACACAGCCCTGGCCAATCAGCATCTCCTCATAGAGATGAATTGAAACAATGAATTTCTATGAGGAAAGTTCAGTGTCTGCATGCAGAGGGAGGATACACTGAATGTTTGGATGCATTTTAGGCAGCCATGACCCAGGAAGGATCTCTAACAGCCATCTAAGGAGTGGCCAGTGAAGTTATCACTAGGCTGTACTGTTAACACTCTATGAGGAGATGCTGATTGGGCAGGGCTGTGTTTGAATCATGCTGGCTCTACCCCTGATCTGCCTCTTTGTCAGTCTCAGCCAATCCAATGGGGAAGCACTGTGATTGGATTAGGCTACCACTTCTGCTGATGTCAGCAGGCAGTGGGCGGCTCCAAAGGAAACATGGACAAACTATGCAGCTGCAGGCTTGAATTCAAGTAAGATTTAACTTTTTTTAGAGGCATGAGGGGACCAGGGTGGCTAGATGGTAGTTTTAACCTTTATAGGAACACAAACATGTATTCCTGACCCTATAGTGCTCCTTTAAAAAAGCCAATTTCAATATGATTAGGGCAGCTCTACAACATATCGACTGGCATAAACTCCTTAGTGAAAAAACACTGAGGATAAATGGAAACTATTCAAACAAATATTAGAAAGGTACATTTCTCAGTATGTACCACTCGGTAATAAATATAAAAGAAACAAATTGAAACCAATGTGGCTTAGTAGAGAAGTAAAAGAGATTAAAAATAAGAAAAGGGCATTTAAATCAAACAAATCCGAGGCATCCTAGACAAGATACAAGGAAGCCAATAATGCTTGAAAAAAAAAGGCAATTAAAGTGGCCAAACTAGAAAATGATAAATAGCCAAAGAATTCAAAACCAAACATTTTTTCAAGTACATCAATTCTAAAAAACCAAAAAAATAAAAAAGTGTAGGTACACTGTAAACAGCGATGGGTCTGTTAGTTAATGAAGACCAGGAAAATGCAGACATTTTAAATAACTTTTTCTTCAATATATATTAATGAGGATCCTATGGCAAGAGATATGCAAATAATTGCTGCAAAAAACTTGCAGGTAGCTTGTGACTGGATGGCTCGAGACAAGGTGCTACAGCAGTTAAAGAAAACTAATGTAAATAAAGCTCCGGGTACGAGTACTTAACGACTTCAGGAGACCCTTAACGATGAGTGACAGACCAGGTCTGCGATCGCGGGGTTAACAGTGCTCCGGTCTGCCTCTGTATTAGAGGCAGACCGGGAGCACCCGATCATGCTGCCCCTGCAGCAGTGCTCGCTCTGACAGGCTGTCAGAGCGAGCACATGTGCTGCATGTACTTACCTTCCGCCTCCCTGCACTTCCGGGTTCACTGTGAAGTGCAGGGAGACGGATCAGAGCTGATCATTTCCCTCTTAAAAAAAATAAATAAAGTTTAATCAAAATCCCACCCCCTTTACCCATTTTAATTAAAAATTAACCCCTTCCCTGCCAATTGATCACTGACTGCAGTGATCAATTGGCAGGGAATACATTTAACTGTCATCTGATTTATTTATTTTTAACCCCTGAGGGTTAGTTAATTTAATTTTTATTTATTTTTTTAACCCTCAGGGGTTAAATTTATTTAATTTTAAAGTTATATATTTAGCTAGCTGGGGTGGGTGGAAGTAATTGGGGGATTTGGCGTTAGGCTAACTAGGGGTTAACGTTAAAAAAAGTTTTAAAATAAGCTTTAAAAAGTAAAAAAAAAGTTTTTTAATAACTTTAAAGTAAAAAAAAAAACACCCCCCTTTACCCAGTCTAAATAAGAATTAACCCCTTCCCTGCCAGTCGATCACTGCCTACAGGGATCAAAATATAGATCACAGTACTATACTGTGATCTAATTTTTTTTAACCCTTCAGGGGTTCAAGCTATCTAATTAATTTAAATATTTTATAATTATATATTTTGCTAGCTGGGGTGGGTGGGAGTTATGGGAAAGTGGGGAATTTACTGTTAGTGCTGCTTACTGCTAGTTAGGGGTTAACGGTAAAAAAAGCTTATAAAAATGTTAAATCTGTAAAAGAAAGTTTAGGAAAGTTTAAGAAAATTAATAAGCTAAACAAAAGTTTAAAAACTAGTTTTAAAAAGTTTAAAAAAGTTAAAAAAAATACATTTTACAAACGCTCATTACCACTACACCTGGAACAAACTAGAGAAAAAATGATCCCACGCTAAGGTTCAAAATACGCCTTTTGAATTACCTCAGGGTGTATTCTTTAATAGATAGTATGTGTTTGTGAGGAAGTTTCAATAACCAACCATCTAAACTACTCCAAAATGGAACATGGATACAGCGTAAAACTTCAAAGTTAGAAAAAAAATTAAATGGCTGCGTTTCAAATTTCCCTCTTCAACATCCACATATACTTGACAAACGTACATATGGGGGTATTGCTGTACTCAGCTGACATAGCTGAGCAACATATGTAGTATTATACAGTCGTAGCACACATAAGGTTTGCCAAATATACTGTGCAAACTCACTTTGTGTCAAGAAGGCAGAAAAAACGCTTGTTACCACTACACTTGGTACAAGCTAGCGGAAAATTTATCCCACGCTAAGGTTCAAAATTTTGAAATACCCTGGGATGTGTTCTTTAAGAAATGGTATGCCTTTATGGTGTAGTTGTAATATGTAGCCTGCTCAAGTGTTCCAAAGTGGGACACGGACGCATCAAAACCCTCCATGAAAATTCACACTTAAAAACCTGAACTTGTTACGTCTCTTTTACAGCACTGTAACTTCACAAAATAGTCTCTAGGTCATACATTGGGCATATTGTTTTACTCAAAAGACTTAGCTGAGCATAATATGGGGGTTTTGAACTTAGTGGCACATATGAAATATGCAAAATGCCCAGCAAACATGTAATCCGTATGTTAAAAATGCCCAAAATTATTTTTTACCACATACTTTGGCATATATTGGTGAAACTATGGGGGCATGTTAAGGCACAATATGCACCATATGAGATACCCTGGAGTGTCTACTTTTACAAATGGTAGGTGTCACGAGCGTGAGCTATAGGCCAAGCCGAGACAGTGGGGAGAGTGTGGAAGTGACAGGGTTAATGACACCAGACCCCTGGTTACCTGTTGCTAGTCCCAGCAACCACTCAGTTAACCCCTGCAATCCCTTCTACACTAACACCCTAGTACACACTTTACTGCCACCACCAAGACTTTTAAACCCGGGCGTATCTTAGGTTACCCCACACATAGGAGAATTATAGAATCACAGTTCTACTTTTACTGATCAAACACATATAATTAACCCTTTTTGGTAACGTGTTTACCTAAGCTTTCCTCTGGAGAGTGAAGCTCATAGAGAACAGAGACACAAGCTGATTAAGTAAACATTTAATCTGACAAAAAGGATTCACAGTGCTGAGTACAAAATACAGAAATAAATGACATACAGATAACAAATTGTAAAACAGTACATAAAATAAAATAGGAGGAAACACAAGAAATTCCTTACATGTAGTTACCCCATATAGAATTCTTGTGGGAGCCTTAGATGGTATAGATCTCCTAGAAGTTGCTGACCAAAGGCAAAATGAAGAACTCTCTGGATAGTCCAACACCCTCATTAATATATCTAAACTAGTTGTTGCTCAGTGGGCAGACCCCTGGGGGGAGGGATCAGAGGGGGGTTGGTGTGGCAGTTTATTGCCCACTCTGTGCAGTTCCTTGTGTCCAGCTCTGGTGATGGCTATCTAGATGTTTTATGGTCTAGGCCTGGTGCAAGATCAAAGACCACAATAAATGTCATCCCAAGGTTTACAAAAAAAACAACTCTTAACATATATAAACACACATCAAACACCAACTCATGCTTTTGGCATGACACCTCCCCCTTAAGATGGTGGACAGAAAAATTCAGCCACAGGCTGATTTATCTGTTTACCATTAACCCTCTACTTCCCCCTGCAGAGACAGACCATCTGCATTCCCATGCAACCTGCCCTTTTTGTGCTGGGCAGTGAAATAATACTGTTGGAGGATAGGGCTCCAATGGAGCAGTTTATCATTGTTACCTGACACCTGCAGCAGGTTGTGATCAGTCCATACCACAGCTACATTAACAAACATGCCTGATTTGTCTGTTTCAATTTCCCATCGATCACTGGTAAAATCCCATAAACCACACCCACTGCGCTCATGTAGTAGTTGTAAGGGGAAGAAACCAATGGATTGCTGCAGCACTCCCCGGTAAGCACACAAAAAAGCAGACAGAGAACACTCCCAGGATAGATGTGCTGTATCAACACCCATCATCTCTTCCATTTTGGGGTATGTCTGCTGGGTTTGTTGCACCTTTGGTTCACAATCAGAAAGTTGCTTAGGTGTATGCGTGAGTTGTGATAAACTGACAAGGTTCCTGGTTCCTCTAACAGTATGTTTTCCTGCAGCCATCCTTCCTGGACCCACAGGCTGAGTCTGTCCGTGCCCCTCACTTTCACTCCAGGTCATCACACATACCGAACTTTGGAAACTGGCTAAGTCTGGCGCAGAGTAAAGCTCACACACCCTCTGCCCTCCCTCATAGCCTTGCTGTCCCTTCACATTTTCACCCAGCGCATCACATACATCTGCTTCAGGCACATATATTCATTCAGCCCCCTCTCGCTGGAAGGCTTTTCCCATATATTTTCACAGGACACATTTGACCCCCCTTGATCAGATACAGAATTTTGCACACACTCACATAATTTCTTCTCCAAGACAGGCCATCCTCTCACAATGTCACATAGCCCCTCAGACTCTCCTGCTGCAGCCCTGACCCACTGCTGACTTGTTACCACTGCGACTAGTGGTACACATCCCTGGCTCTCACCTTCCTCCTCCCCCTTACTCTCTGACATCCCAGCCTCACAGTATTTTGATACAGGCACATCACTACTCACTCCTATCTCACATTTGGTAGACATCACTGGTTCAGTTACAGGTAGATATTTATCCACACCCTGCTCTCCCTCCCAGCAATCACAGTTCACAATGTCTCCCAAAGTTTCACACAATACCTTAGGTGGAGCCGTCTGCCCTGCTGGCTCACAAACAGTGTCTTCTGGAGCATAGTGACAGAGCATCCTGCCCAAATCATTCCCCAACAGAACATTAACAGGGATATCCTCCGAAATCCCCACTTCCCGCAAACCTTTTCCCACCTCCCAATCAAGGTACACACGTGCCAAGGGCACAGCGGGGCGTACACCCCCAATTCCTTTGATGGACATGGTTCTTCCAGGGATTATGTCCTCCATATTCACCACTTCAGGGCGCACAAGGGTGAATGAGGCTCTAGAATCTCTGTCCCATGGTCACTCGGTCACCCACAATTACACTCTGCATGTTATCCTCTTGTTTGCCCACGGACCCACCCACAAGCAAAACTGATGGTCCCCCTCTACGGGCTGGTGAGGGTATATTCCTAGTGGGGCAAGTCCTGCTCAGATGACCAATCTGGTTGCATCGAAAACAACGGCGGGCATCTGACTCAATGAACACAAGATAAACTTTTGTGCAGGAATAGCACACACCAACTTTACAAAATACACATAAGAAGTTCTTTGTTATAAATTTGTGTGCCAAAAACCAAGAAAACACAATTTTACTCCAATATTTAGCAGAGCTTGGCGGTGAAATGGCTACGTACAAAGTGTCAAAACAACCTTAGGTAAATAGCCTGTGATGTCTATTTTATATAAATATATACTTTTGTGTGGCAATTTTGGTTTCTTTTATGGCTATTAAGTTTACAAGACAAACATACCAAATTCTAAAATCGCTCCAAATTAAAAGTTTATTTTACGCCTTGTGCTTTGTGACCTGTAACTACCAAAAAAAAAACTTAAAATCCCAGACACATTATATATTCTGTAAATCAGAACAACTAAATGAATTTATTTTTAACTACTTTCCTTAACCTGCACTAATTATGCACACACTGTAAAAAAAACAAACACATTTTTCATTTCATTTTTGCATTTTTCTGTATTTTATTTTTATAATAAATAAGCATTTGTGTGTGTGTGTGTGTGTGTGTTACATCAAATTAAAGCCCTTTTTGTCCATTAGAAAACAGTATATAATATGTGTCGGTGCAATGATCTTTGGAACAGTACCTAAATTACACAATTTCCACCTATCCATCAAAACAAATTCAAATGGCACACTGACCGCAGTCCACTCTTTCAAATACTTGGGTATGATGTTAGACCCCAATCTATCTTTTGGCCTGCACATAGAAAAGCTTGCATCTAAACTTTATCCAAAATTAGGTGCCCTGTACAGAAACAAATCCTGCCTAAGCCCTACAGTAAAGGAAAATATTGTACAGCAAATGCTGATGCCAATCATTGATTATGGGGATGTAGTATATGCGTCTGCATCGCAATCCCACATTAATAAACTCAACACATTGTATAACTCGTTCTGCCGATTTGTGCTACAATGTAATTACAGGACTCACCATTGTGACATGCTAAAAGAACTAAACTGGCTGTCGCTGGAATCCATACGCACCCTTCATCTTTCCAGCCTTGTGTTTAAGAGCTTTTCTGGGAAACTCCCACCCTACCTGAACACAATGCTTTCCTCAGCTGTTCCCACTTCCTATAACCTCCGATCCAGTACCAACACTTTACTTAGTCTACCTCAATACAAAAAGAAAGCAGTCCGATCCTCCTTCTCCTACAGAGCACTGCAATTGTGGAACGACCTCCTGCAGAATTTAAACTCTTCCCTAAGCCTAAAGTCCTTTAAAGAGATCCCTCTCTACATACCTCAAAACAGAATGCACCTGTCATGTTAAATATTGTATTTTATTGTACCCTAATTGTAACAATGCAATAATTTGTGGACCCAGGACATTCTTGAAAATGAGAGAAATCTCAATGTATCTTTCCTGGTAAAATATTTTATAAATAAATAATAAATGAGAGAGATGCAAATTGCAGTTGAACGCAAACAGCAAGAAAATGCAAAAATTGCTTCTGTCATTAAAGCGGCACTGTCATGCCGAATCTCGTTTTTTTTTAACCCGCCTCCACTACATCCAATTGACCCACTAGTCACCCCCAAATGCCCCTAACTCCCCCACATTACCTATTTTTTAATCCTCATTTTCTGCCCCGATCTTGATTCAGGGCGCCACCATCTTTGTGTGGGTAGATGAAGTCCCTGTGGGACACGTCATCAGCCCACACTAGACAGACTGTGAGATTCCCGCACATGCCCAGTGAAACACCTGGACATGCGAACGGGAATTTAATCTATTCATTCATTCATCAGAAAGACGAATGAGTGAATAGAAAGATCAGCCGAACAAACTGACACAATGTATTAGTGTTAGTTTGTTTGTTCAGTTTATTACAAGGAGGGAGCTACCGGCATGCAGCTCCCTCCTTGTAATATGTAACTATAGAAGCGGCAGGGAGCAGTGCTCCCCACCACTTCATAAGCCCCCCCAGTACACCCTCTCACTCTAGGGGGGTCAATATGACCCCCATAATAGCACAAGGGAGATTAAAATCTCCCAAATGCCCCTACTCGCTATACCGCGAGTAGGGGCATGTCTACTAAACAGTGAGCAGCCTGTGGCTGCTCACTGTTGAAAAAAAATGACAAATTACAATAAGGGGGGCGGACCTATTGTCCTCCCCCCCTCCCCCACCCTGAGCGGCGGGTGGGGGCCATGAAGATAATGAGGGGGGGGGACCTACTGTCCTCCCCCCCGGCCCCCACCCCTGAGCGGTGGGTGGGGGCCCTTATAAAACAATAAGGGGGGGAGACCTACTGTCCTCCCCTCTGGCCCCCACCCCTGAGCGGTGGGTGGGGGCCCTAATAAAACAATAAGGGGGGGGACCTACTGTCCCACCCTGGCCCCCACCCACCGCTCAAATAAAGATATGGGGGGGAACTTCTGTCCCCCTCCCCCGTCCCCCACCCCTGCGCGGTGGGTGGGGGCCCTAATAAAACAATAAGGGGGGGACCTACTGTTCCCCCCTGGCCCCCACCCCTGAGCGGTGAGTGGGGGCCCTAAATAAAGATATGGGGGGGAACTTCTGTCCCCCCCGACCCCCACCCCTGCGCGGTGGGTGGGGGCCCTAATAAAACAATAAGGGGGGGACCTACTGTCCTCCCCCCCTGGCCCCCACCCCTGAGTGGTGGGTGGGGGCCTGAGTAAAACAATAAAGGGGGGGACCTACTGTCCCCCCCCCTAAATGAAACACCCCCCCACCCCAATCAAGGTGACTAGGGGTCCCAAGCCCCTAGTCACCCCCCCCCCACCCAAAAAAAACCTATCCCCTACCTACCCCCCTCACCCTAAAAATAGTGAGGGGGGAATAAAATAACTAACCTGTAAAAAAAAAAAATTAAACTTACCATTTGACGTCTTCTTTTTTCTAAAATCATCTTTCTTCAGCCCCCAAAAAGGCCAAATAAAAATCCATTATACCCGTCGCACTTTAAAAAAAAAAAAGAGCGCAAAAAATAATTAATGTTCTCGCCGAGGGCACAACACCGCTGCATTGAGAGAAGTCTGTTCTCAGCTTGTATTAGTTAGAATTACTGATATGCCAATCAGAGTGTTTGAAAGTCATGCATACAGCGCAGTTCTTTGAATTTTCCCCACGCTGTGTGTAAAATGATACCAGAAAGCACTCTGATTGGCGGTAACCCACCAATCAGAGTGTTCTAAGCCTAATTGCAGGGCGGGGCAAGGCTTTACAATCCTTGACCCGCCCTGCGGAGTTCAGTCCGCGGCGTGCCCTCGAAGGGCGAACATGGATTATAATTTTTTTTATTTTTTCAAAGTGCGACGGGTATAATGGATTTTTATTTGGCCTTTTTGGGGGCTGAAGAAAGAAGATTTTAGAAAAAAGAAGACGTCAAATGGTAAGTTTATTTATTTTTTTACAGGTTAGTTATTTTATTCCCCCCTCACTATTTTTAGGGTGAGGGGGGTAGGTAGGGGATAGGTTTTTTTTGGGTGGGGGGGTGACTAGGGGCTTGGGACCCCTAGTCACCTTGATTGGGGGGGGTGTTTCATTTAGGGCCCCCACCCACCGCTCAGGGGTGGGGGCCAGGTGGGGGGAGGACAATAGGTCCCCCCCCTTATTGTTTTATTAGGGCCCCCACCCACCCCGCAGGGGTGGGGGCCAGGGGGGGGCCAGAAGTTCCCCCCCATATCTTTATTTAGGGCCCCTACTCACCGCTCAGGGGAGGGGGCCAGGGGGGGACAGTAGGTCCTCCCCATCTTTATTTAGGGCCCCCACAGGCATGGGGGGGGTATTATTATTTTTTTTGTTTGTTTGTTTACAGTGAGCAGCTATAAGCTGCTCACTGCTTACTATACATGCCCCTACTCGCGGTATAGCGAGTAGGGGCATTTAATTTACTAATACTAAGTAATTTTTACTTAGTATTAGTAAAGTTGGCTGAAAGACCAATTTAGGTCTTTCAGCCTTTTAGTAGATAGCTCCCTGATACCGTGGGAATTAGGGAGTTATCTACTAAGCGGCTGCAAGGTGCAGCCACAGCAAGAATAGGATCGGAGTTTCATTCATTAGAATGAAATTCCGATCCGAATAAAATGCCGAATTGCGTTCTAAAACAAACGAACATACTGTTCTCATTCAGTTAGAACGCAATTCAGCAGTTTTGTGTAAAGTGACAGGAAGCATCATGGGAACACAGAGGGAAGGTAAGGATTATGGAAAAATTGCTCTGACCAGCGGAAATGAAGCACACTTTGCTCCTCCGCTGGTCAGAACTGGTCAAGCGGAGGAATCCTCCATAAGGCAAAAAGTCCCTACTTTGTCTTATGATTTTAAAGAAAACTAAAGAAGACAGGAAGAAAAGAATAACAGATCCTGAGAGAGGGGGAGAAGAGGAAGAGATTGAGGAAAGGTAAGTTCGGCATGACAGTGCCGCTTTAAGTGTAAGCTTCTGAAGCTGTGTCCTTAAGGGGTTAAGGAGCTAAGTGGGGAAATAAGTGAACCTCTGTATTTAATCTTTAAGATTTTTTTTTGTTTCAGGTATTGTACCAGATGATTGGAGGAAGGCAGATGTCGTTCCTATATTTAAAAAGGGTTCAAAATCCTTGCCTGGAAATTATAGACCTGTGAGCTTAACTTTTGTGACTGGGAAATAATTTGAAGGGCTATTAAAGGATAATATTCAGGAATTCATTGGGAAGAACTTTATTAGCAATAATCAGCATGGTTTTATGAAACATAGGTCATGTCAAGCTAACCTAATTGCATTCTACAAAGAAGTAAGTACAAGTATAGGTCAGGGTGTTGCAGTGGATCTACTTAGATTTTGCCAAGCATTTGATTACCTCTGATGAACCTCACTGGCGAAACTCGCGCGTCAGGGGTTCTGGACACATACTGACACATTATTGGTGTCGGCATCTAACTCTCTGCTTATTAATTGCGATACTACCGACATTAAGTGCATTTAAGTCCAGCATCTCAGGAGTGTATATTGGAGACTCTTAACACTATTTAACTGCACTCTGTGTATATACTTTGTTTCTCTTTCTTTCTCTTAATTACATTTTATGGGGGGAAATTTATAAGACCAGTCATTTGATTAAGGGGTGCCCTTGAAGGCACAAGACTCAGAAATCCTATCCTATACGCCTTCCTCTGTCACTGACTATATTATTATTTTTTCTATCACTCAGGCAGTTTGTTTGAAAACTGTCTAAAAATCTTTTTTGTTTTCTTTAGACTTGGACTTATCATTTTAATGCAGTTATCATTTAGGCAACGTTTGTTTCTGTTAACTGCTGCGTCCTTCATAGCTAAACTACTCATTTTTGTTTCGCTGTTGCTATACGATAATATACTGCTTTAGATATTTTTCTGCTAAACGGAGTCAGCTCGGCAACCCCTTATCTCATACTTCACCGCTGGACAGTAACCTCTAATTTATGATCTACATGCTGCTACTCTCTAGGCAGCTTTCGTGATATTTAACTAGCTAATTGCCGTCTGTCAGCAGAGTATTTCAGCTGAACACTGCTGACAGCACTGGTTTGGCAGTCTTTGATTCTCTCCCCCTTTTGTTACAGTTATTAGTGATACATTGTTGATACTTGTTTAACTTGTAACACCTTTGCAGTTCATATTAGTAGACACTGAGTTTTACTTGCTGTATAGTCTCCACGTACTCCTGTTGTTCTTGTCCTTTTTCTTTTTTCTTTTCCATATTTATTTTAGATTTATTTATTAAAAGTTACTTTTTAACTTTACTATTTTCTTCAGCAAATTATACACAGGTAGAATGGCATTTCTTTCTTTTTTTTTGTTTATTCCCTATGATATTCACCATTTAGGGGTTACCCTCCTTTTTTTTTTTTTTTGTGCATTGTACCTTGTGTTATTCAATATAAGGCTCTAGGTTGACTTTTTGTTTTGTATAACAGCAATTGGATAAATACTTGCAAAAGCATAACATACAGGGATATAATTTCTAATTAGTGGGGTAATAGCTGCTTGATCCAAGGAGACATCTGACTGCTATTTTAGGGTCAAGGAGGAATTGTTTCCTAGTTTGTTGCTAAATTGGAAGCGCTTCAGACTGGTTTTTTTGCCTTCTTTTGGATAAACAGCAAAAACATATGTGAGGAAGGCTGAACGTGATGGACGCAAGTCTCTTTTCAGCTATGTAACTATGTAATGACCTATACTATATGTAATGACATTCAAGTGACTATAACATTAACAAAGAAAGCTTAAATAAGAAGAGTTTTGTTGGAATGCAACTAATTTGTTTTGTTTGACAGATTAGAACTGCTGGAATTCACCCTTTTTGTTTACAAAGCTTAATTTATATCTTATATCCTTGTTTCATTTGACTTTCCAGGTTTGAAAAATAGCCAGTGTTTGATGTTTTAGTGCAGAAGGGAAACAGCAGCTGTTTCAGTCTGAAATATATAACTGTTAAGAAACTCTATTATATTTTTAATATCTTAACATTATCTCTATGTTATTTTTTTAATCCGTGTGTAAGTAAGAAATCCCTTCGTAGACTTCCCTACTCCCCCTTTCTGTCAGCATTTTCATGCAACTTGAGACACAGGACAAGTTTTATGATCGAATGCTCTCTATTTTAGAACTGTCCATTGCTTTTTAAAATCTGCATTTCTGGCAGATGATTTTGACAAGCCATAGATGATTGCAAAATAATGAGCATCATAGGAGATGATGCATAGGATCAGACCAAATATTGCCTAATTAGATTGTTCTCAGAAGCATGAATTAAAAATAATAGAATGTCCTAACATGAATAAATTAAGAATTTTTGGGGGCGGAGCCAGCACCCGAGCTAACCGGCCGCATCCTCAGACAGCTCCGTGCGACACGCTCAATTAACTCGCTCAGAGCCATAATCCCCGCACACACCGGGCACCTAAACCGGTTCACAGCTTACCGACGATATGGGGAAGAAGAACAAGAAGCAGAGGGCGGATCCGGGCATGGGATCCGGAGATATAGGGGCTTTTCTCCGAGCCGCATCGCGGCCTGCTGAAGCCAAGATGGCGCCCGAGATCTATGCCTCACAATCCTCGGACGAGGATAGCTACTATGCAGAGACTGCACTGCCGACCCGCACGCAACAACTGCCACTGAGACCCGTAGACATGGGGGACGCTGCTCCAGCCACCAAGGCGGATATCAAAGCTTTGGTGAAGGACATTCAGGCTATGTTCCAAGCAGACATGGCGCTAGTAAGGGCAGACGTAGCTACACTCACCAATAAAGTGGCAAATGTGGAAGAGGGCCTGAGGGACACTAAACTGGCGCAAAGTGCCACGGACGCAGCGCTGAACTTACTCCGCAAGCAATACGCAGACCAACAAACCCAACTGGCTGGCATGGAAGACCGGTACAAGGCAAGAAACCTGCGGGTTCGTGGAGTGCCGGAGACACTCACCGGCTCGGAATTGCCGCACTATTGCCGACGGCTGATAGCTACTTTACTTACGCCAAGACAAGCTAAGTTGATCACGATAGACTCTTGTTTCAGACTCACCAGGGCGGCCGCCACACCACGCGAAGGAGCTGGTGACGTACTGATTAAATTTATGCGGGACTCTGACAGGGGCATGATTATGGGGGCTTCAAGAGGCTCCCCCACGGTGGCGTTTGAAGGGGCACAACTAACGTTCTACAAAGACTTCTCCAGACACACCATGATGTGGAGGAAGTCCTTTCGCCCAGTCACCCAGCTACTCCGGGAACAAGCCATCCCCTACAAATGGGGCCCACGCCGACTACAGGCAGAAAAGGCGGGCGAAACACATAAGCTGTCTCACGCATCTGATATACCAGCCTTCCTGCAGGCACTCGGCCTTCCAGCGCTAACGACACAGCAGTTGACCCATCCAACATGGTCTGTAGCGGAGATTACCCCCTTCGTGCCTAGAAGAGAGGCTCAGAAAACCTCTGCCCTACCAACCTGAAGCAGCAGCAGAGCAGGGCCCACACGCCCTTAACCTGTTGCGCCTGACAAGGGACATACCTGATTCGTTCCACGTTTGTTCTTGGTTATACCCAATACTGATGCTGTTGGTTATTGTTTTTTATTTCTGTTTTTATTCTCCCTTTTCCTTCCAACAATGCTGCTACTCAATATCATGCTCTTCCCAAACCCGCACAATACTGGCTCCGTAAGCCTTCATAATAATCATACGTATTGAGCCATTTTTACCCCCCCCCCCCTCCTAACAACCAGAGTGCGTTACACAGCTTGAAATATACAGCACACTACATGCTGCACTCTCAGCTAGCGACTTAGATGACCACACCCAGCTGAGACACACATACCTTCCCTAGCTCACCTAACTAAGGCCCCACGCTCAACACTAGCACATTCAAAGGTGCCTTGATACCAACTACAAGTTATACCTTGACACAAGCAGGCAGGCACCTAACTCTACATAATGCCTTTACTACACATTATTTAAAAATAAAAAAGAGGCTGACAAGTTTCGGAGATGTTGTATGGTAAACTGTGATACCCCATCCTGTATGACTTTTATTGTCTCCCTTTCTTTATTCTGTACCCGTAAAGTCTATACCTCAATAAAAGATAGAATTCAAAAAAAAAAAATTAAGAATTTTTTTTTCATTGATGACAGTGTTCCTTTAAGTTCTTCTTAATTTTACTTAAGAGTTGGATCTACAACATTTACAATATGGATACATGTTGTTGTGTACATGCTTTGTTTCTTTGCTATTGTCTACATGTGACATGGATAGTATCTACACATATATCTTTATTTATTACTATCTATGTCCCTTGCACACTGCCAAATAGCTAATAGATTTTCTTAACAGTACCAATGATTTTATTGATTATTTAGAGATTTGTGGAATGATACTACAAGGTGTGGTGTATTACCAAATTATATATATTATATATATATATATTACACAAGGTTAGTCTACATTAAAAAGGTATTTATTAGAAGGCAACAACACAATACTATAAATTTATCACAAGCACACAGCCCAGACCCACGGAGTAACAACTCTTTTTAAATCTATCTATCTATATAGTTATCCCCTTCCCCTCACATTTGATCTCACCCACGGTTAGGCCCTTTACATCTAGTAATGGCTCAATGCTGCAAGTTCAACATCACATCCACAAAGGAAGCAACAGACAGTAACATAGTTCACCATGATAAAAATTAGCCCATGTCTGCTCAGTAGCACAGCCAAGAAGGAACAAGGAGGAATGGAGATAGGGGGAAGTGGTTATCTCTCTCCTGATTTGTAAAGGTATTGAATTACCCAATTACCATATCAAAGGGTAAAGCTTATCCCTCTGTAAGAAAGGCATACATGAGCTTGGTCACATGACCCCTGGTCACCATATTAGTTTGATGACAAAATGTCACCACACAAAGTTTAAATTATTGTCCCTGTATTAAAGGAACAATCTAAGCACTATTCTAGTTCTCCATTTTGAAAAGTTTGAGTTTGTTTTTAGTGACTGTGACACGGATCTATTATTCACTTAACAATCTTTGTTTTTGTTTTTTGGTGTAGTTTTGTGAAACCACGAGTTTCCAACCAGTCCATCCATTAAAATGAAAATTTAATGACCAGCTATGGATGGAAGACAAGAAAGCAACACTTCAGAGGCCACCAGAGTAAATTGCTTAAAAAAGACCTGGCAAAGCTGGAGCAAAGATCACGTGGAATACCAGAGACAAAATCCATTTAGTAATGCAACCCTGCCAAACAATCAACGTCTAGATGTGCAAAGTCCAGAATATGGTCGACCAAAAGCAGGCTCACACACAGAGGAAAGGGGCAAGGATGCACACAGACATGTGGGGAAAGAGTTGGAGGAGCTCTGTTTGGTCATAAAAACTGTTGGTGTTTTAGGAGATGATGGTCACACCAAAGTAACATTTGGGAGACTGTTTGAAACATATGTAAATATTTCTAACAAATTAGTAGGGATTCTGCTGAGAGGAAGAAAACATGGACTGCTCAAGTTTGAGGGAGAAATGTTATGGCAGGGGAGAGATGACCATGTCATCATTACTTTGATACAACAGTGTATATAATTTTAATTATTTCGTTACCGATAAAATGTTTTTTTTCTGTGTTGCAAGACTGGAGTATGTAAGCCTCCTCTATTTCATACAACAATGTGACATGCATCTCCAAGTCATATTCACTGAATGAAAACACGTTGAATTATTATGAATGATAATGAGAATGACACTGTTTTACAATGCTTTAATAAAATAAAAATAAAAAATAGCTTCTAGTGTCTCGTTCAAGCCCTACAAAAGAATTCTCAGTATAGACTAGCAAAGACATTTAGCAAAAGGTTTACCTCCATCCATGCTTTTCTGGTTGTTATTGTAGCAGTTCATTGCTGTTGTGATGTGATAATCTTCAAAGATGAGCTTTGAGGACGTAATGCACATGCGTGGTGAGCGCTGTGTGCGCATTCAAACTTTCACATTGAAAAGCATTGAATCAATGATTTCCTATGGGGTTTTCGCGTTACAATGTCACTCTGTCAGTGCAGCAGAAGTGCCTATAGTGGCTGTCATACTGAAAGCCAATAGAGGTTGACTTAACCTTGTAATGTGAACATTGCATGACTTAAAGGAAAGGGACACTGCACCCAGGCCACTTCATTAAGATGTAGTAGTTGTGAGACATAGAGCTTGTTCCTGGAGGTTGAGCAGTGTAAACGCTGCCTTTTTTAAAAGGCAGTGTTTACATTTCTGCCTACAGCCCCCACTAGTAGCTTTCACTCTGTCAGCCACTAGAGGGACTTCCTGGGTTTGATCCTGCAAAAATTGCAGAACTGACATTCTGTGCATCTATATTGGGAGATCTGTATGAAGACGCTATGACAAGATGCGAAAAAGAAAATCGACTCGCTTTGAAATCTATGGTTTTACATATAATAACAATCATCTGTTCCTTAGCAGGTCCTTAGGTAAATATAACCTCAAACGAACAACAATATTCCACTATGTTATGATTTATTTAACAAAAATAAAGCCAAAATGGAGAAGCCTTGTATGAAAAATGAAGTACACCCTTACTGCTTCTATAGGAAATAAGATGCTAAATAGCAGGTAGGTGCTGCTAATCAAGCTCCCTTGATTAACTGATCATCAGCAAGTGTGACCACCTCCATAAAAGCCGATGTTTAAGCAGTTGCTGCTCTGAAGCATTCAGGTGTGTTTACACAATGCCAAGGAGGAAAGACAGCAGAAATGATTTTAGAGAATCAATTGTTGTTCCCCATCAAACTGGGAAGGGTTATGAGGCAATTTAAAGTCCATCATTCTACAGTGAAAAAGATAATTCCAAAGTGGAATACACTCAAGACAGCTCTTAAAAAAACACAGCACATATTCTCCTACTAATGTTCTCACTTCTATTTTTCACTTTCTCTCTTACTTCCCTCTATATTAAAATCTCTCTATCGTTTTACTTACCTGTTCCTGCTGACACCGTCTTAATTGCTCCCTCGCTGCTTCCCTCATCTCTGTATTCATCACATGTACTTTACTCATATTTATCCAGTCTTTCTCCACAAACCCCTCCTAAATCCCTTAAATGCAAACTCTCGTCCCCAACATTTAAATCTTACTCCAACCTTCTCATCCTTTCCATCCTACTGCTCCTAGCAGCTGGTGATGCCGCTTCAAACCCTAGTCCCTCCGCTATTAAGCCACCTGGGACAAACACCAGAAACCACAACAACCTAATACCCATTCCATGTAATTCTCGCTATAATTCTACCTTTAAAGTTGCCTCTGGAATGCACGCTCTGTGTGCAGCACCTTTAAATCAACTTCCATCCATGACCTATTTATCTCACACTCCCTAAACCTACTTGCACTAACAGAAACATGGCTCTCTCCCTCTGATACTGCTACTGCCTCACTATCCTTTGGTGGTCTTCACTTTACCCACAACCCAAGAAAAGCAGAGAGTAAAGGTGGCAGTGTAGGTTTTCTCCTTTCACCCCACTGCTCTTTTAAAACTCTGCGTACCCCCCTTTCCTCTCTTTCCTATCATTTGAAATTCATTCAATTCGCCTTTTCAAACCCTTCTCTGCTAACATTGCCGTTATCTATCGCCCCCCTGACTCCCCTCTCCTCTTCCTTGACCACTTTGCTGCACTTTCCTATTCCATCCCTAATTCTTGGAGACTTCATTATTCCCATTAACCTACCTTTGACCTCAGCAGCCTCTAAACTACTTTCAATTACTTCCTCCCTCTGGCTATTGCAGTGGGCTAATTCTCCCACCCATGTAGCTGGCAATACCCTTGACCTTATTTTCTCTTATGCATGTACAGTATCTAATATCTGCAACACTCCATTTCCTCTCTCTGATCACCACCTCTTATCGCTTGCTCTCAATTATCCCCTTAACTCAGGAGGAACCTTAATTCTATTGACCAAAGGCAGCTGTCCGCTGATATTGATTCACAACTGCTATCCATCCCTTCCTTCTACTGTTCCTTACAGGCCATCTCCACATAAAACACTACCCTCACCTCTGCCTTGAATGCTGTAGCCCCACTCCAAACATGCACCTCGAGTAGGACACGCCCCTAACTTTGGCATACTAATGCAACATGCTATCTGCAGAGTTGCTCCTGTTGTTCTGAACACTCCTGGAGGAAGTCCCGCACCCAGGCAGACGATCTTCATTATAGAACCAAAAATCTCCTTGCGTGTTATAAAAAAGAACTCTGTGGTAAAATCTGTGTATAGCAGCTCTGTACATAACCCTTTATTCCACATACAACTAATACAGAAAAGAAATATGGTATATAATAAACATATACCTTAAGTGGAGCGCTATAGGTGTTGAGGGATTGTCTTATAGAATCTTGTTTGAATCCTATATGTCAAGTACAGATATGAAAGCTAAAAGAATATATAAAATAGAGCAGGTTGTAAAACACTGTGTGGATCAAAATGAAGTAAGAAATGTGTCACTCACATTATTGGCTCTGTAAATAAAAATACAAAGAAACTAGTCCTGCGCTCAAACTTTATTTTTATTAACATTATTTTTATTTTATTTTTTTTACCAAAGAATGTACTCTCAAAACAGGGCCAAAAAGAGGTTAATCTTGAAGAAATACAAGATTTAGATACAAACTTCGTTAATTTGATAAGTTAAAAAATGAAATACAGATGGGCCTTATGGAATTTAAACCTGAAATTCTATTAATAGAGAAGAATAGTAAAATTAAATAAAGAAAAAAGAAAAAAAAAATTTCTCCTCCCCCTCTCCTTTTAGATATTAATGAAATAATTCATCTCTCTTTCATTGAGGTATTCAGCATCATACAACTGATCCTAGTAGGGATCTAGGTGGAGGATTTTGGTGAAAGGGGATACTCACTAAAACCATCCAGACTTCCTTAACCCCTTAAGGACGCAATGCTGGTCCTACCCTTTAGGACGCATGACGGAAATTTTCCAGCAGGGTCTATTACCTGGGGCCAGAATTAGTGGCCCCAGACTGACCAATGCTCTGTTTGCAGAGCTCAAAGTAAGCGCTGCTAACAAGCATTTAAATGGGGATTTAACCCCTTAAGGACACATGACATGTGTGACATGTCATGATTCCCTTTTATTCCAGAAGTTTGGTCCTTAAGGGGTTAAATCCCCACTATTGCAATTTGGTGTGATCAGGGTTAAATCCCTGCTCACACAAGGGAGTTCCAGGTATAAATGGAAACCTGGGGCTCCCCTCTATCAGCTTGGGGACATTTTTAGTGACCCCAGCATTTTTGATGAGCTACATGCAGTGCTGGAAGTCAGCGGGGCATGTATCTGCTTAAATAGGCATTTAAATGCCTATATCTAGATTTTGGTGTAAGCAGGGTTAAATCCCTGCTCACACCAGGAAACCCAGGTATCATTAGAAACCTGGGTCTCCGCTCTGTCAGCTGGGGTAATTTTTAATGTCCCCAGACTGACAGCTGAGCTGCATGCAGAGCTCAAAGTGAGATGGCATGCAGCTGTTTAAATGGGGATTTAAATCCCCATAGACAGCAATGTAGTGTGAGCAGGGTTAAATCTCTACTCACACCAGGAAACCTAGGTATCAATAGATACCTGGGGCTTTCCTCTGTCAGCTGGGGCCCTTTGCAGTGGCCCCAGACTTTTTGATGAGCTGCATGCAGTGCTGAAAGTCAGCACTGCATGTAGCCATTTAAATCCACAAAGAACACTGCAGCTGAGCGATCAAGCTCAGCTGCAGTCATTCTCTCAAGTGATCTGGTGCTTGGGAGACCCCCAGGGTCTGAATAGACCCTTGAGAGTCACCCTTTATACACTAATGCCATTCGGATCAGTGCTGGGCATTTTCAGTTGCCCAGCACAGATTGCATTGCATTGGGCATAATGTCTTCAATGTAAGAGATGGGAGACTGCAATACTGAAAATAGCCAGTAGATGTCAGCAACATACCACTGTCTATTTTAGTTTAAAATCCCTTTACTTATATCAGTACTGATTTTAGTAGAGAGAAACTTTTGGGATTAAGATTAAATTAAGGATTACAATTAAGGATTATTATTCGGTTTAGAATAAGTACTAGATTTATTATCAGGTTTATTATTGGATTTATTGTCAAATTTATGTTTAAGATTAGGTTTATAATTAATTGTAGTATAAGAATTATGTTTCAGATTAGGATTAGGGTCAGCACGGGCATCTCTTACTGAATATAGCAAGTGAATTCCTCTGCTGACACCAGCAGGGGGAATCATTTAACACTATTGCTAAAGGTAGGATTGAGATTAGGATTAAGGTTATAATTAAGGTTACACATGGGATTACATTATGGGTTAGGATTGTGGTAAGGGTTTATTATTAGATTGAGGGATAGATTTGGGATAGGGATTTGGTTTAGAATTAGGGCTTGGTTTAGGATTAGGGATTTAGATTAGGATTAAGATTAAGATTGCTACTTTCCAAAGATATACATATGGGGTATATCTGTACTGAGAAGATGTTGCTGAGTACAGCTAAAATAATTTTATGACAGTGGGACACACGAGATTTAAAAAATAAGCATCAAAAATACTATGTGTATGTAAAAACATTAAAATAAATACCACAAAGTTTGAAACAAAACGGTAACAAAATGTCACTTCAATAAAGCTTATAATATATATATTTTTTTAATTCTTTATTTTTGCTGTGCAGGTGGGTACAAGAAATTCAACAGACGCCACAACAGCGTATTGCAAGATATACAATAGTTAAACAATGGCATGAGAGTCTGCACAATTTAATATTTTTAGCAAGCTTAGCTAAACAGTTGTATCGTTAGCGTGAAGTTAAATGAAATACAGCAAGATAATTGATGCTTAACTTGTCTTATTCGGCATTTGTGCTAAGCATATGAGTCAGAAACAAAACAGTGAGCTTATTTTTGCCGTTAAAACAGGAGCTAAGGTCAGCATCAAGAACAGATTTCTATAGGTTTAATTAAGTTTAACCACCAGGGGGCAGCAGATCGTCGGACATACATGCAAGCTCAGGCATTTTAATTACTTTCTATCTGCAGGAAGAGAGTCTGCTATAAAAGACTCACATTAATATTGTAGATGAGGTACTAGATTAAGAGGTACACCATAGTCTGTTATAACTTTAGGCATATATGGGTAGAAGCCGCTTGATCCCTCCTGCAGCTGTGCTAGATCTCTGCTTGTAGCTGGTTATTTCAGTGTGTGGGGGCTTGACAGTCAGGAGTGGAGTGAAGCTCATTCCCCATTTTCGTTGTTCCTTTGTACTCAGGCAGGGTCAGAGTCCAGATAGAGTCCCCTTATATCCACTGGTGTTAATGAAAGGTGATGCCTCTGCTGGTGTGAGTATTATAATGCTGAGCTGCGCTTGCTTGCGGAGTACATCCCGTATACAGTTATCCTGTGGCTGGAAGGGGCACTCCGTCTGTCTGCCGTTGCTTTGGTACTGGCCTCTCACTTTGTCTCACAATGAGCGCGGCGGCCATCTTAGTTTTTCCCATGCAGTCCCCGGCCAGTCTTCCTGCCGCTTAGATGCCCCGATCGAGCGCTGCGTCCCCAGTGGGGTCCGGGATAACCCCCCCGGCCCACGGGGGGTAACGGGGCCCTTTGCAGGCAGCGGGAAGTCCTGCCCGACCAAGCACGGGAGATCGACCGCTTCTCCCGCCAGGGCCTTACAGCAGGCCGCAATCCCACTCGCCCACTAGACCGCATCGCCAGCGGAGCGGGGGCTGATACTTGCCCCGAAGGTTGTTGGTCGGGTCCCCTTTGCTTTCTCATAGCAGCTGAGGGTTTTCCAAGCAAGAAGGGGTATTTATAAGCTGGTCATTGTGGGTTCATCAGGGAGCCGAGGTGCCCCACGTCTACCCAGCTCGGCTGCCAGGCCCCGCCCCAAGCTTATAATATTTTATGTGAGAGTCCCCATGGTGTCCACTTTTGTAAATGGTATGCATTGGTGGCGTAATTTAAATATATGAGCAACTAAAATGCCCCAAAATGAAAGACCCATTGTCAATTTGCCATTTAAAAAAAACTGTACTGGGCCAGGTATGATTTTAGCCCTGTATTTTTTTCACAAAAACCTGGCTAAGGTGTACAAAGGGGGTCATTTTGTACTCAGGAAATATAG